TTATTAAGGAAAATTAACAAGGCCTGTCCGCCAAATGCCATCGATAAAATCCTCGTAGAGCATAAACTCGTACAAAGACGTGGGAAGTGGAGTAGTCGCAAAGGATCCATGGACTCATTAGGTCGGTCGTCAAGCTATTGTACACACACAGGTGTTGTATAACGAAGTTAAATAAGTATATGCTTATACATTCATTCAAGTCCTGCTGGAAGGCCGGGGGGATAATATGGGGGCCATCATATTTAGAAACATTTATGGATTACGGCGAAGATACGGCATAAGCACAAGTGATAACATTTCATCTTTCAATAAAGCGAAGTAGCATTCCGCCTGGTCTGGTCGATCTACAACGATTTGGGAATGATAAAGGAATTCTTTGTATTTAAGGTTAGGTAAAAAGCTACTAATACGGCGGTCGAGGAAACGTCGTTCCCTTTTGGTATTACATATAAGAGCAGCCGAGCCGTAGCGTTTAAGGATAATACTTTCCCTATAAAATCGCATTCAAACTTCCAGACAAGGCAAATCTAAACGTCTGGGTAAGACGGCCATCAAGCTACCCTAGCTTCGGGGGAATATGGCGCCCCTGAGAAAGAATGATACCGCGGCGAATTACTGAGAGCAGCCAGCCATACTGCCTGTCCTTATGAATGGCGCGAGAAGTCAACGAAAAAGGTGGAATGGTACATGGATAAGTTATATAGGAGGTTCATTAAGACCCCTCAGCAACCTGCCGCCATGGCCCCATTATTCGCCCTACGCGGTAAGTTTGAAGCAATGTCTTCTTTGCTTTTCTTCTTCATAACCTGCGGACCCTAAGTCGTGCCTCGGAGTCGATGGTCGTAACCGATTATTGCTTGCGCGACTTAAGAACCTCGAAATTGAGGTTGTTGGTACACTAGCGGTAGTAGTGGTGAACCTCCGTTCCGTTTAGAAGCCGTCAACCATTTCGGAACCTCCACCCCCTCGTTCCGCTCCTACATCTGTAACTGTATGAACTTGTGAGTGGGATCAAAGGCTTACCCTTCTCTTCCTTCCTAAATGATATACTTTGCCGGAAGGCAAGAATCGTACCAGATACAGTGCACTTGTGACGTTTATCTTATCCTGTAAGAGGCATCCAGTAAGAGCATACTGCGAGTACAGGGTGACCTTACGCGCAATGGACCTAATACTTTGTGTTAGCCGTAAATTGTCCTTCCGTCCATCGTTGTACCATCTCCATAAGTGTAGCGGCAAGTTTTAGATCCTTAACAGCGGAGGGCTCCTTGGGAATGGGGAGCGCTTTTCTTCATATTGCTCTTGCGTTTCGCGCCGCTGGCAATCTTCGCTGACTCTAATGCACGGTAACATCGTCGATGGGGCTTATATTACATAGGCAGCGGTGAGACTCATGACTAAGCGGTGTCTCTATTTATTGAAATAATTAACTGAAAAGACCGTACGACGAGTAATACTACAACGATTCTCGAACTGCCCCGTATGGACAGATTGCATCGGTGAGATGCTAGCTTACAAGGCCATTCATAACATATCTTTTCTGAATAAAATGGAGTCTTCTTTTCATGCATGGGTCGTCCGATGAACCACGCCGGCAACGATGAATGAGCAGTGTCTGATTTTAAGCGATATATGAAAGTTATGCCAAAAAATGATTGTATAATACATTCGTACACATGTTGTAGCGTTAGATATGATTGTTAGCAGGAATTTGCCCCTAGCACAAGATATCCAGCACTGTTTTGTTGTTGAGCCATTATTATGTATTTACGTATGCACTTTTATGCTGTTTCTTTTCTTGCTAACCTAAGATACCCTTTTTCTTCGGCGGGCCACTGATCAAAATTGATACAATATTTGATTTTGGTATGATTCTTATTTGGAGAATATTTATCATTGTTTTTATACAAACAACTCTGTTTGCTCATAGAACAAGATGAATACGAGGTCTGTCTCACCTGCATTTTCTTGGTACTGTTTGCCTACGAGAGACAGAGGACAATAACGGTTAATTTGTCCCTGAGCTTTTCAATAAATTCCGTCCCTAGTTCAATCTCTGACAAAACGCAACAAATATCTAGTAGTGAATAAAGTAGTTGGAAATCCTAGTGTAGACTTGGTAACAAGTGTCTCAGCTGGGATCGAACGCGCCATGGCATCTTAATTTAGCGCCTCCTTAATGAAATCGAAAACCAGGGGCAAACGCCCAGCGGTAAAGCAGCTAAATAGCGATGGCTCAGTAGATCCGCTTCTTGTCTTGCCTCGTTAGAGATATGTCGCTTGTCAAGCGACGCCTCGAACTTCCACGTTTGTGTATTTCCCCGAATCGAATCCTTGTTAACTAGCCGCGCCTGTAAGCATGTCGAAGTCTGTACTCTTTCTATTCATAGAGCAGCTGGATAGCTTGATAAGCGGGTTTGTTTAACTATCTGTCGTCGCCATTCACAGCCATCTTATGCTTCAATTCCCCGTTAATTGCGACTCTGTCTTCGCCCGAGCGGTCTTCGATTTCTTTACGTGCTGGCGTAACAATGTCAACACCTTTTAAACATTTAGAGCAGCCGCGTTCCTCTAGATCTGTGAAATCGCTAGAACAAGGTGCAACGAAACAAGCTCGTCCTGTTAACGTGGTTCAAGAAGCCAGCTCGGAGCCGTCGACTTACGTAGTGTGTACTAACCGCTTGGCACAAATTCGATGCTGTGCCCCCTATACAATGGGGCCCGACTTTCCCGCGTAGCCGGTGCGTAGGGAGACATGTTTGAGAGTACCTTGCTAATAAACAAACTGTCATATATCATCTAGATCCCACTTTGCGCCGCATCTTGCCGCCAAGTGTGAAGGTGACGCTTGTTTATGAGCAGTAGTCGTTGGTGCGTCCATGCGTAGACAGGTCGGATCGCTTTAGTCCGTTTGATTCTTTGCCAATTCCGACTCGGCAAAAAATTGTTGCTAGGCAAAATTAAGTGTCATTTCGGATAAATGTTACATCGTATCTTAAAGCATCATTACTACCATTACTAATCCTATTCGCCGGGAATCCGGCCCTTAGCCCCGTCTATTTTGTGCTCCGCTTGCATGGATTCTAGGAAAAGTGATAAGCAGTGGGACACGAAATTGGTAATAACTGGGACAGACACTCGATCCTCTTCAGCCAGAGGTGACGCAAGAGTTGACTCGTCGATAAATTGAGAGGCCAAAAGCGCAGGCAAAGGACGACGATCGTAGAAAAGAGCTCTCCGTAAAGCGAATCTCAACACGCAGCTCCGCACCGTTGAGCGGAAAACAAGGACAGGGTCGTCGATCTTAATTAACTGCCCTCTCAGACTACCGCTGGCTACTGTTGAGTAGTTGTTTATTGTAAAAAGTTAAGTTAGTTTAACAGTGGCGTGAAAAAATAACGGAAAGAAGATGGCCCGCCGAACAGAACACGTAGATCTGGCGATATAAAAAAGTATGACCAAACGTGTGAGAAATGTATGACACTGTCATACATTTCAAGGTGCTGGTAGGTTTCTTAAATACAGAAAATAGATAGGATCGTTAAGACGCTCTATGGGTGTGCGGCACGTGCAAGTTTGATTTCAATGGTAGGCTATATAACAGATCTATTATGCGAAATTAATTTTCTATTTACTAATGTCAATCAGTTCCTCTATCTTGAACTATATTGCATATACTATTTCACCGTTTCACCCAAACACCTCAGAGCAAAACAATGAAGTCACAAAAATATCGAGGTATTTTCTCAGCTCAAATCACTGGGGTATTATTTTCCATCGAACAAAATCAACTTAAATTAACTGTTCTTGTTTTTCCTTTGCGTATGCGATAATAATCAATGCGTACCGTTTGTTTTTAGCCACACGCTGTCATTTCATTGCCAGCTTATAAACCAGCGACGCCTTAAACCTTACGTCTACATGTAAGCTTCAGCTGCCAATACTGCTAGGCAGGCGTAGAGATGTTCGCCAGGCGAATGTTTGAAGCCTGGCTAGCAAGCTTGCAGGGACTTGGCTTGGGAAGCTTCTTCATCAAGGGTTCAAATAATAGCAGTGTAAATATTTTATCCAACTCTCGTTCAGACCAGGCTCGTCCAGCCTCTTCTTGTTCCCGCCTTTCTACTCTGTTTTACAATGGTATCAAAACGACGTCGAGATACCTGCACGCTGGAGTGTTGCCAAAGTTGGGTCTGTCCGTTAATAGGCCGAACTGTGTAAGCAACAACAAACGAGAGCAAATTTTGTGCTACCATTTTAGTCTCGCACGCGCGAATAAAGGGTTAGAGTCGGACCGGGAACCGTTGCCAGCGGGAGAAACAGAACAAAAAAAAAACAACGTGAAATACTACAGCTGTAGGCTACGCAATGGGTGGTAGCTACTGGTCTGGAATTCCATTACAGCCAGGGCCGTCCTCACATGCTCATCTAATTAAGTCTTCCCCTATTTTACGCACTTATCAAAGTTAGTTTGTAGAAAATGTATTCTGTAGAAAAACAAACTCCCTGTCTAATATTCTGTAACTTTATAATCAACTAATTAGTATCGTTTTTTTTTTTATTGTTTTCAATAACTCCCTTAGCAAATCGAAGTGTTGCTTTGCCGCATTCACATGAGATTCGTCATTGCAGTTTGACCCTGGCGAGCGGAACGAAATATTTAGTATAGGGTTTTATGTAGGTAAATCATAACGGTCTTCGTGATTAATGCAGCAATAACGTGTCTGTCTATTAAACTTAAGCACATGTGATGACGTATGCTTGGCGTGTAAGGCCCAGGTTTGAAACCAGTCGGAGGCAGTCGCACAGTTCGTGATGTTGTTTACGAGCCATCTAAAAGAGTCCGAACGCACCATTTGAAAACCTTAAGCTAATGATCAACTCTACCTTCAGTGAGAATGTGGGCAACTTTTTCAAGCACTCGCGTTTTATTTTTAATGGAATAAATTAACTAGCTAAGTCAAACCTAATCTCCATCCTCTTTTATTTCTCTACAATTTCAGGCTCTTTCTGGCGTAGGCGTTCGACCTCGTTCTCATCCGGGGACGCCTCAGTCACCCCCTCCGCCCTTGCTCGGTTCAACCGGCGTCGATTCGCACCGTCACCAGAGCATTCACATGGGAATGGGGATTCTGACCAGCACCTGCGAGTACGCCATACCACCAGGAGCGACCAGTGGGGTCGGGAGTGCGGCTTGTGGCCCCATTTATATGATAGGCACTGGCGGAAGCAGCAGTGGCGTTGCTGGAAGCAACAACACAAGCAGTAACCTAAACAACAACGGAGTACTAAGTAGCGGTGTACTAGGGTCCTCAGGTACGATACAGTATCATCAGCAACAAAACCAGCAACAATTAGCCCAACAACAACAACAACAACAACAACAACAGCAGCAGCAGGGAATACAAAGAGTTGGAAATGCTAGTGCGACGGGTAAGTAGTTGTCCTGTGATAAAAAGGACAATTATAGTCTAATTAAACGTGTAGGAAACGTTGGCTAGAACACCAGCGGTGGGGACCATTGTACGTGTAAAAATGGAGTTTTATAAAAATTAGAAAAGACGTAAAGGTTGAATCGATAGGAACTGTATAGTTAGATGAAAAAATGTTGCCTCATTATGAAGCACAAATAAGGTGAAATGCTGGTGTAGGTATTCCCTGAACTGCAAGTTGATATTGTAATTATCAAGAGTAAATGCGTAAAATTGGTCTAGCTTCTGCCTTTATTTATCCTATATTTGACAAAATAGGAAGTTTGCTTTAATTCAAATTGAATAGGCCTGAAGCTATGTTTAATGATAGTGCTCCATATAATACTCGAAAAATCTATTTAGATAGTCTTATTTCCAAAAGCCTTTATCACCGTTAAACGTGCGACGCTCCATTTGCAACATACGACATTTTATCTATTCATATACATCATAATGTGTCTGCCAATTCAGCATGTTACAAGTATCCAGATATCTTTTATCCGGTCTTTTGTTTGCGCATGTAGGCACAAGCGTACCGGTCGTGTTCACTGTTGTCGCGCCATTGTCCTCTGTCTCTGATCCTCGGCCTGATACCTGAAGACCCTTATAACTTCCGGCTTTGAAGTCCTTTCGTAGTCCTGTGCTATACCACGGGAACCGTAAAGTGCACGTGCTTGGCTTCATAGCCCACGGTGTAGTCTCTCTATATGTATACTTCCACTGGCATTGTAGGCCTATGATAACATTTAGCTGTCGTTGCATCGCACTCACACTGGTCCGGCCCCTGTTCAGGTCTAATGCATCGCCCCGATATTTAGCTTGAAAGTGAGCCCGCTTACGAAATGCTTACTAGGGTTGTCACTTTTACTAAATTAGATAAAAATAATTTTGCATTTGTTAATCGCATCCATTTGTAGATCGTGACAGGGTAGGAAAGAGGTGTCTCTGTCGAGGACTGATCCATAAACAAGAAACAAGCTTGCCCCAGGAAAGCCAAACAATACAAAGTAGTAGCACACAGCTCCTAGAACAGACCCTCTATTTATTACTTAAACAGAGAATATTTAATATTAACGCAGATGCTGTCTCAGTTGCCTCTTTACGTTACAGCTGCCGAGGATCTAACTGAAGCGGTAGTTTGTTGTGATGCTTTCCCGGGCAATGCCTCAGTTGTTGACTGGAACTGCCAAATCGCAGGCGAGATTGCAGAAGTCGTGATTTGTCCCTCTGTATCTCTGAATTAGAAACTCAATTGCAAATACTCACTCAGTAATCCGAGGCCTGTCTCGTATGGTTCTGCTGTTTATTCGAGGCCGGCCGGGTTGGGTTGCCTTTCCCGGACTAAAAGTAAAGGAATCTTTTAAAGCAGTGTCAATGCAGGTATCAGTGTGTCCTTTGCAAAGATTGTAGCAAGAGCAGGTACAGAAGTAGGGTGGCAACAGCAATAGAGAAAATGCCCCTATAAAAGGAGGAGATCATGTGTTACTCTATTGCGAACGAAATATAGGGCATCGACAAAGTTAAGTTTGTTCTGGGCTCATGTGCGGGCAAAATGAGTAGCAACAGTTAAATGAATGTAATACGATAACAAAAAGGCGGACCATACATGATATGGAGGTGTCGCCGAAATTTCTGGTCGCATTGCAGGAGGGCTGTTACACATTTTATCATAGCATATTCGATGAATAACTTATCGCTATTTTAGAAGCTTTTGCTTTATAGAGTAAATTAAAGTATTTATTTTCTTATTATTCTTGATTATTTATAATTAAATATCGGTTCCTAAAAAAAGGATTGTTTCCTCTCTAAAACGTAAATGCGTATCCGGCTGGAACAAGTCTTTCACACGCAGCAAACGCAATCAGTACCCGCACAGTTGCCCATACTAGAATGAGGCTAGTGGATCAGCTTTGAACCTTTCCAGCACAGACTTCGTTACCCCCTGATTTTCCCGTCGGAATGACAAATGAACTATCCATTGGCAGTAGCAGCAGCAGCAGCAGTATTAGCTATCGAACATCAGTGAGCAATGGTTGTGGTATGGTACTTGGTGAAAATTTCTTCTGATTGCCGGTCGCAGTTAAGTTCTATTTGTGTTTCAGCAATCGCGCCTTCCACAATTGGCTATATATCGTCTAGTGGAGACATCCGCAACTCGAGTTCGAGTCTCGATTCCGGCCGAGGGTCGAGCAGCTCCGGCTCAGAATCCTCGTCGTTTACGTCAACAACCGGAAACTCTGCCAATAACAATATCAACAGTAATAATAATAACAACAACAAGGTAAGTAATTTCCATCCGACCTCATTTATTTGAATTTTAATTACATCTGTTTTTGGGAATATCGGAACGGGCACAGCCAGGAATACCCAGTGATCAGTTGTTATGTGAATAGGTCATTATATTTTGGTTCTATCAATGTGCGACTTCACATCGAAACGTTCTCGTGCCTCATCATGTTCGCCGTATTTGTCAATCAGGTAGTTCCTTCAATTCCAGTCGCAAGTTAAAGATAGCAAAGTAATTTTTATGGCAGACAAAGATATTAAAGAAAAAACACGTGACAAATCGCTCCCTGCACGTCTTTTTCTATATATTTAGCTTGCGCATAATTTTTAGTTAGGGCACTAGGGTGAACAAATACTATGAGTATATCTAGATTAATACTGGCCTTTGTTTTATTTAGGCAAGAACCATGTCTTTTCACTCTACCTATGTTTTCGACAGGCAGTCAGTTGCTATGCAAGCGGGTTTACTAGACCTCTTATTGTGGCTATACAAGATCCCTAACGTGAGCTCTAATTGTCTGGTAACAACATTTTATTTACCATCAGACCGGATTCGTACGACGGCGTTCAATAATTTGGGTTGTGAAACAATGTCATTATAGAAGGTTCTGCCCCTTCTTATAAAAGAATGCTACTACTAAGCGACCAAAGGATGCTTGGATCTATATCACAAGTACAAATCTAACTTGCTACAAATCAGAGAAATTATATAATCAAAAGTTGTCCCGGACTTTTCTTTGTCATGTTCTCTAACTGCCAGAGTTTATTTCGATTTCAGACATCGTTCGATAGATTTTCCTGTTTTCCTTCTATGGTCAGATCGCCGCGATTGTTTGCTGGGAAACGTCTGCTCTGTAGTATTTTTGCTTTGATGTTGATCACTTACGGCCTACCCTTTGCCCTATTTCTACCTCCACCTAACCGAATCGATTATATGCAAATAATTCCATTTGTCGATAGTTTGTAACTAACCCAATAAAGCAAAGTGGCAGGTAGAAGGGCTCATCAGACAAAACAAAAAAAAAGCCATTTAATCCCGAATCAATACGGCTTGTGTATTCTTATGTGACGAAGGCATTGTTTGCTCCCCGATAGGGATTAGTCCATTATATAGAATGCCTAGGTTTACCTTTATGGACTTCTTTGCTAGTAGTCGTCTAATTACTTTCGTTATATTCCTGTTGCTCGATTCTGCAGGACCCTGTTGTATTCTGCCGACTGTCGCTTGGAGTGTGTAGTGGGTCTAGTGCAGGTGGTTCGGCCACGAGCCTTTCATTAATGTCGTCTTGTTCATCGACTTCGTCAAACGGCGATAATTCGCCGTCACCTAATGGACAGCTCCAACAACAGGTCAACGTTGCGCATCTGCTTCTCAACGGAATACCGGTAGGTAGATCCGTTTACGTTTGCTTTCGACTGTCGACTTTTATCTTGACAGCACGACCCACTTTGCCTTTTCAAGTACTGCCTTTAAACAGTAACTGCCATATATACCATGCAACTCGTTTGTTTGACTATGACGTTTGCTTGAGACGACCTAGTCCTTCGATGGTCAGGTAATTACTGCCAAGTACCTTTTCTTTCAATAATGCTCACTGTTGCGAAAAGACTCTATTTAAGAACTATGCCCCCCGGTGGACGTGTTTAACGGCAATCAGTGTGACTTGGCCGCATCGTCAGTTAGTGTAACAATGATTTACGTATCAACGATTGATTTTTGTAGGCTTAGTGGCCTAATATGAATCGAAAGGGGTAGGCAAGGCTATAACTAGCATGGTCACGGGCGACATAGCGGGTCATTCATGAAGTTCCTGAGCCTGCAACGGTGGCCATCGAAAAGGCCACTGTAAATTTCAAAACAAACAAAAATTAATTTATGCGATTTCTTTTCATATAGCCCTGAATGTTCTAAAAAAATGTGGCTACATAACAGAAAGATTTTGTAATTAGCAAGTTTAATCGTACCTAGTGTAAAATTAGGCTCCATTAAGACCTATTGTTAAGTAGTGGACCCATGACTACTATTTTTTGAGGAGTCTCAGTCGAACCTTTTGACCAAACTGATAGTCCGCCTTGTCTGTGGTATATGTATGCAATCTGGCAACAAAAAATTCCCTGTGGCATCTTACGAGGCGACGGGCAGCCCTATCACGAAACGGCATTTCTGGGCGCAGTCTACTCAACCCTAAAGGTCAGCCCAATTTTGTAGCTGTAAGACGCACCCATAAACGCTCGAGGGCATATTATCTAGTTGTTTCGCCTTAGACACACATGTTATTTCTGTGGTATCCATCTTTACCTTTAGAACTATCTTGTCCATTCCAATTTCGATTTTTTAGTGGAACTAAATTGCGGCAAATGTGAGAAGTAGTAATCATCTTTATACTGAACGTTGGTATCATGCAGGGCCAACTTGCAGTTCAGCTGTGACCACACACCTTGCGTATTGTGCTTTACGCAACTTACTCTGCTTATCAAAATAATTCTTCTTGGAGTCAACGTCGTAGACCAGCGAACTTCCGTTCGATGTCTCGTCCACTTAGCCTTGAAAGTTGCAGTCATTTTAATTGAAATCCTGCTGTGCTTAGATCTGTTGTATGTGAGGCCTCGGCAATAAAGCGGTGGAGACTTTTTCATCTCTATATGAATAGGTCCACAAGATCAGCCGTGTCTAGGCATAGCCTCAAGCACTTTTTTCCGTTTGGAGTTTAACCAGAGAGGGTCTTGTCACACTTATCCGGGGCTTCTCTAACAGATTTATCAATAGGAGTGGCTTCGGTTATTAATTTCTAATAAGAATTTTTGCCAACGCTGCGACTTGAGTCGGTAGAGCGCTGTTGGTTATGACTACTGTAGAAGTGCGCACAAAGATATACGCATTAACCATTTAGATTGCGCCTCTTCCCCGGTGGACACCTGGTCCTTAAAGAGGGATCCTAAGCGATCTAGACGCTGTCACTAATAATTTATTGATTGTTTCTTGGATACGGAACACTGACTTGTGCTTGACGGAAGGTCAAAATAGGCTTCATACAAGTTCATATGGTTTATAAAGCGACCGGTTGAAAGAACGGTCACCAATAGGCAAAGCTTATTTGTGAATATTTTGCATTCTTGACTCAATCATTGCTCATTGTTATTAAGAGCGACCACATACTATCCTGATACGTAGGTCGTTGCTGTTTGTAAGCCGTTGGGAACTACATGAAAAAGATAAAGGAATCTCACATGTAGGCTCTGTATCCTATCCCCCATTTATGTCGAATAAAGGAATTTCACATGTAGGCTCTGTATCCTATCCCCCATTTATGTCGAATAAAGGAATTTCACATGTAGGCTCTGTATCCTATCCCCCATTTATGTCGATAACAGATTTCCTTAGGAATTCTACGTACATGCATTTGTGAGGTCGAGGACTCCTATTAACAAGCGGTTAAAGGCAGTTTTTGAAAAGCGTCTATCGTCCAATGATTTTTTTTTTAAATTAATTTTGCGGTTGTTTGTCACTGTTCTTGGCTAGGAAACACGATAGTGAAGACGGCCTGCTTGCAAAGAATGAGCTACGATTGGAACCTGTTTCGTTTGATTTGGCTTTAAGCGAAATAGTATTTGGGTGTTAGCGAAAACTCATTGGTACCAACGATCATAATCTTATGTCGCAGTACAAATATTCTCTGCGATTATAAACTCTTTCAAGTCTTCAGTGACATTTTTCCCTTTGACATTTTTGCCAAAATAACGATTTTGACGTCACGGCTTATTCGTACGTTTTGCCTAACCAGCTCTATCTTTTAGTGCTCATTGAAAGCAAAATAAATAACTGTTATTTAAATGAGTATAGTATCTTCTGCGGCGAACGTAATCATATTATGTTCTTACTACGTAAAGTCGTTGGTACATAAATATTTTGTACTACTGATAAATCCCCACTCAGGCTGGCCAAACCTTATACAAACGTTCATCTATCACTATCTTATCAGTCCAATTTTGCTACCAAAACCACGTCTGCAGATCGTTTAAGGCATCGCTGCCACTCGGACGCGCGTGATTTATCAGTAAGCACCTGAACTGACTTGGACCGACAAGGCCATTTTCGTTCGACCAGCCGGTCGTAATCCGGTTGTTGGCATCTCCATGTAGCATGCATATGACCTAGCACGCCTTAGCACCTAATGTACGTTGAGTATGTTCCATGTTGGAATACGCAGTACGCAAATGGAAGTTTGCGCCCGACATTCTGCTGCATTTAAATTTAGCATAGCGTCAATCAACAGTTAATTTTCCGAGCCTGCGACGATCAGACTATGCTGTTACTGATGTTGACTGTGGAAGTAGTTGGTTTTTGTGTTCTGGAACATTTTAGATGATGGCGATGCTAAAGTTCTACATATTTGTCATTCATGTTTGTTTTCCGTTGGCGACAATCTCGGTCGCTCTGATGATTATATGAGTCGAAGCTTGCTGACAACAATGCAGTGATGCATCTGGTGACGCAGAAACAATTGATCATGTTGGAAAAAAGCGGAATGGTCCAATTAGGCAGCTCTTCACAGAGCCTTGTAATCGAAAAGCATGCGATGTATTAATGGTAAACGAATGGGACAGCCTCGATAGTCGTACCGGTGGCAGTTCAAAACCAGTGATTCGTGTATCGGTGAGTTCATCGCCGACTTACTCGCTTAACGACAGTTAGCAAATTGAGCTGATAATTTGTTTATTAACAGATTCAAAATCCTCCATATTAATTCCATCAGTTGTTGCATATTGAATTGGTCTTACGTTTAACCGCGACGCACACACTATCGTCGGCCGTATGTCTGGGGCCGAAACTCCGCTGCGTTCGATTCTGCCATAGCCACGACCAGCAAACAAGTAAGCTTTTCTCGATATCGGACAGTGGCGCGAGGGTCGTCTGAACGATAGTCTGATTTTGTTGACTACAAAAGCGCTAGCTTGTTGTCCTCTGAAACCAAAGTCTTTCGTGACTCTAGATTAGAGCTAGGATTCCGGTGCATCTGGTAAGTCTTTTAGCTGAAATTTCCCTCGATAGTTCATCTGGTTTGGCTGAAATAATACATACGGACTCATAACATTATCTTCGTATCTGCCGATGATTCTGGCGTCCGAACCAAATTCGTGAAAGCAATATCACGACGTATTTAGTGACACAGAAGCGATCGGCCATGGCGACAAAAAGCTAAAGAATGGCTGAGTCAGGTAGGTCTAAACAGGCCTTTACTGACGTGTGCTTCATGGACAGGCGACACGTCGGTGGTAATACGACAGTAAGAAAAAGAACGTTTTTAATAGAAGTGGTAGTGAATTACAACTAGTAATTTGCGAGTCCTAAAAAGACCCGCATATCACCTCGACTTGCATGCCTAAACTGGATAACACCAAAAACGGTATTTATTTAAGCGTATGGTGGGCTCTTCTCACGCTATTCAAGGGCGTCATCAACATCTTGAAAGCCTTTTGCCCTGTTGTACCGTAAATATGGCTACGAAATAATAAATACGCTGAGCGTCCTAAAGGTCCGGAAGCGACTACATGATGTCTTGATGCAGAGACACTTTCTACTCTAGAGAGAATTTCTATTCTGTGTACGTGAGTTGCAGTTGCCTGATGAACATGTCAAACCTAACAGTAGCTTTCTTACCATAGCAATGAAACGACACGTCGTTGGCATCTTCACGTTTGGCTTACTGCACTTTTTTTCTGAGTGCGTTTTAATCTTTAGCGCCATCAAGAGTGTCATGCGTCAAACAGGAAATACAGAATCATTCAATAAGCAGGACTTATTGACGCTCTGGCACATTCCGTGCTCGAATTATTTTCTACTGATAAGTTGATAAAAAATTTCAGAGAATGGCAGAAAGGGATGAAGTATGTTATAAAAGGAGGTTCTAGGAGGTTGTCGTTAACTGGGCTGACTAGGGAAATGCCATTGGAAAGTTGGTCGTTCTAAGGTCCTGTCATAGCAAAGGGTTCTTATGTTCTAAGCGCTACAGCCACCGTTGTTTTTTAATGCTAAGACTCATTAAGAATTGCACTTGTTCACGCGTCGATTGGATATGAGATTGAGGGATAGCAAACCTATGATCGGATTGTAAGCAGCATACTAATTATGGCAAAACGGAAGTGGACACATGTACGGGTCAGAGAGTACTGAGCTCTAGCGCTTTTAGCCCGGTCGCCATTTTCTGTGGAGCACGATTATCATTTACAACTATGTTAGACGTAACAGTGAAATCACGCTTGACATGTAACGTTTGAGTACTGCCCTATGTACAAAACAACGTCCGATATACGCGATCGAATGGGTGAAAACGCTTTAGGATGGCCGGCCAGTAGTCACTAGTCTGTGGCCCAGTCTGGCCGAAGTC